TACTTCACTTCCAGAACCAAAAAAGGCCCAGAAATGTTTAATAAGCTAAAAAATTAAATAAATCCTTCACCTTGCTCTAGAGGAAAACCACTTCTCTTTAAAGCTTAGAGGAAATTATTATCCTTCTTTTTCTTTCTTTCTTTTTAACGAGACACTCTGAGGTATGCCCATGTTTCTCATTCCGGCTTTACTGCCTGTATGGTATCATAGGTTTTTCCCCCCACTCACTTGTTAGATGCCCAACAATATCACCTGCCACGTAAGAAAGAATTCCTTGCTCTCATAATACAGAAATAAATTCTAAAAAACAATACAAGTGTACTCAGTGAGAAACAAGGAGGAAACGAAAAAAGACTTATCAAGAAAGAACAGAAACTGTTATCTGATGGAATTAGAGTCCTTCAGGTAGGCACTCTGAGAAGTCCTATATCCTATTTATATTATTAGAAAATAAAGTTGCAGTAGTAACAATGAATATCATTTTTAGAACTAATAACCTGCCTCATTATTTCTTCAACAATCATGGAGGAGATCTCGACAAGATTGTTGCAATGAATTCTATATACGACTGCTCCTGCACAGGCTTCAAAGACTATAGTAGATACAAAATTTTGCTGTTCACTTATTGACTACATCAAATTACAGAGCGCTCTTGGATTTGTCTTCAATTCCAGACTCAATTAAAGATGCTGGTTATCACCTTTAACACTATGAATGACTTTGGCCAGCATCTTACACTGGGTGTATAAGACGACCCCCCAATATTTCCACTCAAAATATATAGTATGTTATATACTTGCCGTATAAAACTACCCCCTCTTCCACACATCTTCCACACACCAAATAAAAGGTGCTATTCATTGTCACCATTGTATGGCCGAGCACGACTGCAGCGCCTCCGCCCAGCCCCTGCATCTCCCTGTGACTGGCACTAGTGCACAAGTGCGAGCTCTGCATAGACAAGGGGTGGGCCAAAGCGCCACTGCTTCCCACCGAGCAGAATGGGCTGGTCACGTTAAAAAGGCTGGCACCCCTGTCTCACTCCTGATGCTCGCCGTGGCCGCGCTGGATACCATGCGATACTGGACAGTATGTAGAAGGAGGTGGGCAGGCATCGGGAGGCTACTATGGGCACTGGGTGAGCATCAGAAGGACACTATGGGCAGTTATGTCTATTCCAACTGAAGTGCACCCGGTGTATAAGACAAACCTCCCACTTGGAGGCATGTTTTTCAGGGCAAAAAAAGTAGTCTTATACGCCAGCAAATACAGTAATTTTTGTGTATGGGTTTCCCAGACTACACTTGGAAGAGGACAGCCATCCAGCTAAAAGTGAAGTATGATTAGCAACTGCATCAAGTATGATCTCTATCATAGCCTATCTTTATGAAAGCCTATCAATGCTTATGGTTTTCCCCCTCCCCCCATGTAATGGAGTTAGTTTCCCTTCATAAGACCAAACCCTACAGCCTTGTTTCCTTTTTTCTATCTGACCAAATTACTGGGGAAACCACTCCACAACCAAGTTCAGTTAGGTGACTTCTAAAAATAAGACCACAAGGAATTCTGTGCAATCTTAAAGACCAGTACGTTTTTCTCCACACAACCTCAACAGCAGCTCACTTCTTCAGATACACAGAATGTACTGGGAGAACTGTATACAAACTCTCATTTGAGAAATGACAGCACTGACATCTACAGACTTCAGGTACAAACTTGTTCCTGAAATCCATTGTCATACCAAGCAACCTTCCAATTGTGGAACTGTAACTTCAGAGATGACTGAATCAAATTCTGAAAGGCACAACTTTCAACAGACCAGGGAATCCATGGACCATTCAGAGTTTACAATTACGTCCATTCAGGATGAAGTGCCACAAATATTTATTTATTTATTTATTTATTTATTTGATTTATACCCCGCCTATCCGCTCCGAAAGGACCACTCTAGACGGCTAACAACCATAAAAATAATATAAGACAACGAAAATAGACAATTCTAAAAGAAGAAAGCACTACATTAAATCATATAAAAATCATACACAAAACAAAAAACAAAAACAGAAAAGAGGTGTATGATGGAAAGGCCTGCTGGAACAAATACATGATACTGAAGCACTGTTTTTAAATCCTACCCTATTTCTCCCAAACTAAGACCTAACCTGAAAATAAGTCCTAGTATGATTTTTCAGGATGCTAGTAATATAAGCCCTATTCCCCCAAAAAAGCCTTAGTTAAGTGAAACCTCGCCCTCCACCACTGTACAGCAACCAGAAGATGACCTGACTGTATTAGAATAAATGTAGACTGTTGTGCATGAAAAAAATCCCCTGAAAATAAGCCCTTATGCATTTTTGGAGCAAAAATTAATATAAGACCCTGTCTTATTTTAAGGGAAACACGGTAGATAATGGCTGTTCTTCATCTTTGATAAGCCAAAGGTCAATAAGATTGGATACCTGGGAGTCCATTTATGAAATTATTAATTTTTCTTTCCATTATTTCATATTTACTTTTAATGGTGTATGCACATAGGCATTCCCCACTCATAAACATATTAATTCCACTGGTGATGCAAAAGAAAAAAAAGAGTCTACAATTTTGACTCTTTTCCTGATCCAATTCTGTGCAATATTCTTTCTACTATATGACCACTGCATATATTTTCTGTCAATAATGCTTTCAGATAGCAGCAAAAGACCTCCTCAGGCTCTCTTACCCCCAAAACATATCTTTGGAAAAATATGCTAGTACTTTATTAATAATTTATCTTCTAAAAACTTGCTGTGGGGCAAATATATATATAATTTGCTCTGGCTGATCCTGGTATCTACTTCAGCCTTTTCATTAAATACAGTTTTAAAAGGGCATTCCAAGATTCCCTTTCCACTGCAAACCAAGATGGAGCACTTAACATTAAGTCATAAGGCAGTATCAGAGCTGGATAATCAACTCTTTGGCTTGCCTTGTGGAAAAAGAGGATGAAACTATGATCAATAAAGCCAATGAATTCCATCACCTCTTTTCTCCATTATGAATTCATTCCATTTGTTATGACAGGGAAGCAAAAAATGCACATCCTTCTAATGTTTGTTGGTAGAAATGAAGAAATGCAAAAACAGTTACTCATGTTTTGTCACAGTCTTACTGAGAAACGGAATCCTGACTCAATGACTAACTGGACAAACGAAAGGGATTCATTTGTTTCATGAAAGGAACGAAACAAAAGTGGACTCTATCGGCCTGGTCCTTTCTCCAACAATCTCATTTATGCAAACAAAATTGAGGTTATAAAAATCACAGACCATCACAAATATGCATCACACAACTGTTTGTCAACATGCTGTATTTTCAGAAGCCCCAACGCTAGCTTTTTAGCATTCCACATATATTCAATCAGCATTCCACATATAATCATTCATCAGAAAAGTGACAACTCATTTTAAGATTGCATTAAGTTTTGCCCAGAACAACAGCGAACTGTCAAATTCCTGCTGCCTCCTCAGCAGTATTCAACATGCCAGCTAGGATATACAAATCAATTCTTGTGATTCAGCTGTGATACACCAACCTACCTCACAGATAACTGGGGGATACAACTTCCCTTTTAGGCTGCAAAGATCCTAGTTTCTTTTGACTAAATGTTTACCAGCCCTTCAAAGAAGAAAAGTTGAAGGCCAGGCATGGTCTGACAGGGAAACAGGGAAACTCAGAGTGGTCACTGCCATGTCAGGTGGCATCATTTTTCTGACTCCCTTCTGGACCAGAAACTCTCTCACAGAGAAACATCAGTGCTATCTGCACAGGTGAATGCAGTGGCACTCCACCTTTATGTTCTCTAAAGCCACAAAAGCTGATAAAACTATTTGATCAGTTATATACATCACCAGAGAAATGTTACCCTTGCTCAGGGTAACCATGACCAATCTCAGAAGAAAGGCAAATTACAGTGTGAATCAATGCCACTCCTCAAAAACAAACAAGGTATTTAAACTTATATCCCAGTTCTATTATCCAATTACACAGAAGCACTTATGTTGTTATGCTTTAAACTTGGATGTAAGTACTATTAATATTTCAGAAGGTCATTTGTACCAATGATAATCTTGCTCCCTAGAGCAAGATTATCATCGGTACAATTTCATTCTGCCACATCAGCAACACCAAGTCCAGAAAATATACTATGTCTGCAATAATCTGTACAAAGCTTTTAGCAGGGAGAAGGGGGGCTATGTAATTTGTATAGCGTCAACTTGAGATTATAAAATGCAACACTGAAGAGGTAACCATTTAATGCACCACAAATAAAGAATATTAGAAATACAATAGTGCCTTTAAGCTTGCTGTCATCCCATCTGTAAACCTGCTTTTCCATTCATGACAAACATTTTAAATATCTCATATTCTTAAGCAACAATCCATTTCACATCACTTATATCTTGTAGTTATTAGACAATATTTCCCAATACACAGTATGCAATATTCTGCTTCCATTCAAAAGAAAAAAGGAATGGGAAAGGACATATCAGCATCACCATAAAACAGCCAATGTCACTGCATCATTTCTCCAATGTCTTCCCCATGCTTTCTGCATCATCTTCCAACTGTTTCTACGTCTTTTTATCAGTTCCCAATTGAAAGTAATGCAATTTGTTACCTATACCAGACACATCAAGCTCCATTCATTCTGCACAACCATCTGCTTTACATAATCGTCAAACAATCCTGCTTCTAACCACCACGGCTGTCATTAGGATGGCAACACAAGGTAACAGGACACAGGAAACGAAATATCCAGCCTCCTTTTTCCCTCAAACCATTGTAATTCATACACAGAAAAAAGGCGTGAATACTACCTATAGTTTCTGCCAAGACAATGTATGCTATAATTTATTAAGAAAGCAGGATAGTGTTCAGCGACAATATGTATGTTGGTTAGGTTCACATGCATGTACTTCTACAGTAAACACATAAAGCAGACATGAGAAGTGTTTATTTACCTCTTCTAGAAGAGTGACTGTATTCCTGCAGTTCTGTAGCCGGGTAGTAAAGCTGGATGTTGTTGGAGAGTTGTAATCCTCTGTGGTCTCAGTAATAAACTCTGACACAGTGATCTGGTCCGGCATGATCCTGCCCATCAGTTGCAGATCGTCAAGAAGGAGAAATAGATAAGAATGGGGTGTTAAATACAAGGAGGAGCATCAAGAAGCTCAGGATAAAAAGGGAAGACAGTTTTAAAAATATCCTGGATGCACCTAATGGTACCCTAAACAAAATAAAGGAGGCCCTTGGCATCACAGCCTGTTCCAACTAAGCATGGGAGATGTTTACACTGGGATTGCTTCTGTCCCCATCAAGACTTCAAATGAAGAAATATTAAAGGACTAGGTGTCTCTCCACTCTGGTATTTTACTAAAGGACACCACTATGGAAGAGAAAGGTCTGTCTTCGGCTCAGCCTTGCATCACTTAGGTCCCCTTCAAAAAAAAGCCGTTTAAATGGCATTACCGTCCTCCATGTGTCCCTATTTTAGATACTAGCCCAGAGCCCACCCACCCCCCATGTAAGAAAACAGGTTATCCATCTGACTCACTGTCAGATCATCCTACAGGCTATATTTCTTAGTGCTGGAAGGAGGGGGTGGCCGCAGGTGATCTCTCCCTTCAAAAACGTTTAAATGGCATTACCGTCCTCCANGTTCCTCAACCAAACGACTTCTAGTATAAACTGTAGTCATTTATGCTGGCCATTCCTTGAAAGGCCACCGGCCACTTTGAAAAAGAGAGGGTGTGTCTTCTGGTACCTCAGAGCCTTCTCCTTTTAAGCGGCAGGATCCGTACCCTCCGGCCCCTCGCCGTCCCTCAAAAACACACACACACACAAGACCACTTTTCAGAGAGCAACCTTTCTGACCACACAAATCGTGGATCCACTGAGCAGTAAGAGGGGGGGGAAGAGGCCGGACCCCCTTCTCCACAAACACACAAACCCCCCAAACCCTTTTAAGCACCTTTTTAGCGCCTGAGGCAGTTTCTTCCTGGCTTTTTTTGGGGGG